AAAAAAGTTTTTTTTAAATGCTCTAGCTTTTGTGGAAAAAAGTGGCAAAAATATTTTTTTGTCCCGTATTCGGGTGCCATAAATATGGTCACCGTCATTATAGTGCACAGCCAATGCGGAAGTTGAAATTTCTGTTATGGTAGTATCAAAATGTGCCCCGAAGTGACAATACAAGATCCGTAAAAAGAGTGCACCTCGGCAGGGAATGCATATTTTATGAAAATACTTAACCAAATATCTGTCGCAAAACCTAACAAAATATGTTTTTCATCGTTAGCATTGCTACAATAATCGAAAAGAATATGGCAAATTTTTCGATAGAAATCGTCCAGAAATTCTTTTAGAATGCAAGATTCGTTCAACGTATCGAAAGGTTGCCCACACAAAAATAAAAATCGTCATGATGAACACGTGGTCATCTCGAGATTATGGTGTCCTGAATTTTAGGCCAGATCTTTTCCCACCTGACCATTGTCAAAATTTCGGCATTCAATATTTGTCGCCCACGGTTGGTATTCATTGGAAATATTTACATCAGTGGTTGAAACAGGCAGTTTTTATAATGTCTAAAATAGGTTTAGGTATATTCCCCACAAATAACACAAAAACTGTCTGGACCAATCGTATAACGTCTGCTTTTCGTTGCCGCGGTATTATTTACGTGGAAATCTCTACATCTGAATTAATTACTCGTACACAAAAAAATTAATTTGAAGAAATGTTAAAAATTAAAATATCTGAAAAAGTACATCTGCTAAGAAGAAATTAATATGGATTATGAAATTACCGTATCAACATTATTGGAATTGGCAGCAATATTTTAGAAAATTTTATATAACTAGTTGTAAATTGTTCACCAGTGTTATTTAAAATAGAACTGCAAAGAATTGTATAAATAAAATAAAAGGTTTCCGGTCAATACCAGGTTCTCTACGTTTAAGTTATTAAGCTTATACAACTAAGTACATATAAATTATCTATAATTATCAATACTTTTAATAAAAAATGGATTAAGGGCCACGTTCGATCATTCAAACCAATATGTATGTATGTATGTATTTCACAATACTATATATGTATTTTACTTTCTTTTAACATATTTCAATAGAAAAATGATAATACTTATTAAATAGTAAACATTCAAGAATACAATACAAATGGTAGTACATATACATATATTTGTATAATAAATATTTTATACTATAATTTTATTATTTAGCTGTGTATGTAAATAAGTCTTTTTAATTTTTAAATCTATTTCATCCTCTTCTATTATTTTGTGACTTATTTATACTTAAATCGAAAACCTTCCTTTTAAAAAATTCACTATTAATCCCATTTTACTATGAATTTGTTTAACATATTATTTGTTTTTTCATTCGTTATTTAGCGCTTACGTATGTATATGCACGATAATTATATGTTAAATAAAATTAAAACAGTTGAAGTTTGATAATCTGAAAATTCGGATTTTTATGACTTAAAACTGGCTAAAATTGACCTCATAAATGACAAGGTACCTTAAAAATGATCTAAAAGTGAAAAAATGTCTGGAAAAGTATGTTTTTATGTTTGGAAGAGAAATTTTCATTTAACGATACGAATTCTTTAAAAAGGGTTGAACTAAATATTTCGGAATTCAAAATACACCCCGATTCGCTTGAACAGGCGCATTCAAAAACCGTGATTCCATACTACATATGATCGAGATGGGAGTGTGCTGGTGTAAAACGTGATGTAGTGTTATGCAAATATTTAGGACAAATTCCAAGCATCGAAAATAATGAAACATTTTATGAAACAGCCACATTTAAATATCCCTCTCCGACCTTATCTCTTGAATACTTTAGAAAAACCGCACCGATTCGTACCACAGGAGCTTTAAAAACATGGATACCGAAACTAAGGTTTAATTTTCTGACTTTAATGTAAAACATTTAAGGACAGAAAAGGATTTTCATATTTATATAGTATGTATATTTAAAGTAAGAAAACGGAACACAATACCAATAGTGTTTAATAAGAAAATCGAGATTAACAGTTAATAATAACTTGTTTTGATTAAATCTTATTTTTTGCTCTTTTCAATGTATACATATACCTATTCAAATGAATAAACCGAATATGTAAATTTTTCGTTATTTTTAAGGTGTATGAAAAACAAACTACTCAAGATATTTTCCATTTTTTAACCACAGCCCTTTAAGGGCCGGTTACTCAATGTCTGGTTAACACTAATCACCGTTTAAACATCATTATCGACGTGTTCGGCTCCATGCATATAACATGGAGTCGGTAACGTCGATAACGATGTTTTACCGGAGATTAGTGTTAACCAGACATTGAGTAACCGGCCCTAAGAATAGATTTGTCTTCAAACTGGCAAAGAATTCAGCTTGGGGAAAAAAAAACAATGTGACCAACCGCCAAATAAAATAAAAATCCCTTCAAATTGCTAAAACTGGAAGAAAGTAATCCAAAAAGTTTAAAGCTTAAATCTAAAAAATTACCCTCATATTAAAATGGAAAAATAGTACCCACAATTTCTCATTTATTGGATCTGGGACCTAAGAATGGATTTTCGGTATACATACATATCTAGTAAATGCCTCCGAAGCCTTAAAAAAAGATGACATTGCATAAAAATCCGAGCCCTGTTTACAATACTCGGACGAATTATTTCGAACTTCTTAAACAAATGGTGTAGCTAAAGTATAACACTTAAAGTGTGACAAAACGTGGAAAATCGTCAAAATCATTCTTTTATTTAAAATAAATATCCCGGAAAATAAAGCAAATTAGATTAGCTAGTTATGGTTCATAACTTTTCTCTACAAGAAGAGAAAGTTCTGAAAGTGTGTTCATCACTATTTTTGCTTATGTATAAATAAAAAGACCAACATTTTTTGACACTAAGGGCCAGCTGTTGTTTTATACTTACAGCCCTATTCGCGTGTTGTCACAGTAATCAAATGTCACAGTTCAATTGTCATTATCGTGTCATCAACTGTAGTCATAGGTATGCACAGTCAATAATGACAAGCGAAAAGCTCGTTTTATTTGGCCTTCGCGGCGAAAGTTTCTCTATAGTGAAACAGTTGTTCTTTGTTTACATTTTAATTGTTCTGTTTGACCCACACTGCAACAGACGGAATTTCTTTTAAATAAAATACGCCGCACCAATAGATTACGAAACTCCGAAAAAGTGAGTAATTTTATAATAGGAAAATTTATTTTATTTTATTATGAATTCGTGTAGTAGCAGGCGTGAAAAATATGAATGCACCACACAAGAGCAGCTACAGTTTTGGGAATACCACCCCGAACTACAAACGTGTAAAAACTGTCAAAAAAAAACTGTTGTCTAGGAGTTCCCTCAGAAGTCTTCTCTGTATAATATCTTCTTGCTCCACAATAATAGCCGCGTACATAATAATTATTTCCTCCATGAATAATGCAATGGATACTATTATGATATGCATACGCAAATAATAACTTTTTAACACACCTGTTGAAGCAAATAAAATGGTTTCACAGTTTTCAATTAGTAAAATTTTGCAACTTTTTTCTGCAAAATTATTAAAATTGAATATATTAACATATGTTTTAGCGTTGTCACGTACTCAATAGGTCATCACAAAAATAATAGCAATTGTCACCGTTGGAGCTTTCAAATTGCCCTCTGCATACCTAAACGTGACAATTGATTATAAACATGACAATAGTGATAGCAGCGAGTTTTGTCATTGCACCCGAATAGGTCTGTTAGTTTAAATGCCCGAGCCGGCTGGTTTTAACCAAGTTTAGCCAATCAAATGTCAGCCAGCTGATCTAAATTTAAACTTGCACTGAAAAACTGTAGTTTGCTCAGAAAACAATTTCCTCGCTCCCTCTTGACAAAATCGGCTCCCTTAGCAAGGCCTTGTGTGTGAGTGCGTATGTGTGTGCAACCTTTCGTAAGGCAGTGCCAAAACTCGAATGCCACTAGTGAGCAAAACTTTTATTAATAAATCATGAATTTGCATTATTTTTGAAAACTGAGAATAACGTTTTAAATACACAAACGATTCTAAACTTACATACACATAGGATGCATTCAATCAGTATTTATAAACCGCACTATAAGAAAAAGTCTAACTTGCGCAACCTGGTTGAAAACTAATATCTAACCGTGGTTGCGTACATTTGGCACCATCAGCGTAGCCAGAATGAAATTTTCATTGACATTTCAGGGTACTATTTTATATATATATAAGGAAAACTTGAAAGTTAAGGGGGGGAGGGGGGGGGGGGCTCGAGCCCCCCCCTGCCGCTACCTGGCTACGCCCATGTTTGGCACTACAATCTACTAAGGTTAAGGAATAAAAGAGACTGATGCTTTTTTTTCGAATGCACCCATACTCATAATGTTTGTGATTGGTTTAAATTATAACAAAATTACCAATGAGGTACTCCCTGATAAATTATGCTGTATTTTTATTACTTAACACTTCTAGAAAAACTTCGAATCTCCTGAATTATTATATTATATGCATATAAAACTAATAAACTAAACTCAAAACTTGTTCAACGGCTCTTTCAAATAATTAACGGCATTAAGTACATATAATTTTCCCTTGAGTTACATCGCTTCTTTCAACTTAATTCGCTATTTAATTTAAATGCTCATTCCTGAAACTTATTTTAGTTCGTTTTTGTTACACATTGATTTGAAATGCCTCCCGTTGTAACTTCTGATTTCCCCGCATCCGTGGTGAAGTTTGTGTTTTTGATTTGTCGTTGATGTCTGAAAAACGCGCCGGGGGATTTATGTGATCCTGATAGTTTTGAGGATAGTTGGATATGCTGAATTGTAACAAAAGAAAAAAAATAATTTATGAAGAATACGAGTATAATTTCTTACCTAAATGTAGTTTCTTCGTTGTGACTCGAATAACCGCTGGAACTGCGAACATGACGTTTGCCACTGGTGCCAGACTTGCCGCCTTTACGTGCCACAAATGGCGGTTTCGATTTTCTCGTCAAACTTGTCGGCGTAGTCTCCGATGATGAAGATGTTTCGTCTTGCGTTTCTATTTATTCAAATAGTAAATTTTTTTTTAAATAATATGCCAATGTTAGGGGCGTCCTTATTTTGATCTTGCGCATATGAAAGCTTGTACCTTTCGTAGTCAACTTTTTTCGAAAGGAGGATACAACGAAATTAATGTTAACATATTTTTAGCATTCCAAGTTTAATTTTGGCGAAAAATATTTAACTTTATTGCTGCATGAAGTAAAGATTTTGATAACAGTTGTATGCCTTTTAGACGGGCTTCACGAACTTTATTGGACGACTTTTGCTTTAGATCATAATAAACTAGACATCTTTACATTTTTATTTGTTCCATCATATTTCAATCTTATTTTATTATAATT